CAGGCTGGACGGCCACGATTCCGACATTCTGGCGCTGCAAAGGAAGGGCCCCGCCAGCTTCGGACCTCACGGCCACCGAGACCTTGCTGCAGAGCGCCATCGACGCCGTGCTGGCCCAGCTGGCGGCCCTCACCACGGGCGGAGGCTAACCTCATCAGCGCCCAGGCCTGGTAAATAACCTGGGACCTGCTCCTGGGCACCAACACCCTCCGCAACTTGCACTTTCAGGCCCCGCTGAGCGTCAGCCTGCAGAAGGACAACTTCACCCTCAGCCTGGCGTCGCCACAGCCCTTGCGCCCTACGAGACGGCAGCGCAGAGAGATGCGGCGATCGCGGCCGCGCTGGTCCCTTACAGCACCACGCCCAAGATGGACGCGGCCATCGCTGCCGCCGTGGCCGCCATCGACCTGAGCCCGTATTACACGAGCGCCCAAACGGACGCGGCCATCACGGCCGCACTGGTGCCTGTGACGTTGGCCAACGCCCCGGCCTGGCGCGCCAACCCGCCCACCTGGGAGCTGCTGAAGAGCACCAACGTGCTCAGGAACCTCCACTTCGCGGGGCCCCTGAGCGCCAGCCTCCAGAACACCGACACCTTGGAGATCGACTGCAACAGCTACAAGCGGGCCGAGACCTACACCCAGGCCGAGGTCAACAGCGTGGTCTCCGACGCTGTGGACGCGCTGAACATCACCCAGTACCGGACCGAGGCGCAGGTCAGCACGGCCATTTCGGGGGCGCTGGTCCTTATTACACGGCCGCCGAGGTGGACGCGGCCATCGCGGGCCAAACCGTGGACCTCAGCAACTGCTACACTCGAACACAAAGTGACTCCAGATACTTCCCTGCCCAACGCCACCAGGCAACGCCGAGGTGGTCCGCGACAGCGTCTCGATTCCGAGGCAGCTGCGGGGCATCCTGCCGCGGGCGCCCTTGGCTTGGAGCTACTTGTTCTCGGGCACCATCGCGGAGCTCCGCTGCAACGCCTACAGCAAGACGGAGGCCGACGGCAGGAACCTCAGCAGCACCGTCTACACTGGCACCCTGGACGGCCGCTATCTGGTGACAAACGCCAACGCCGAAGTGTTCACCCTGATTCGGGACGCCAGCGCCGTGCCCAGGCAGCTTCCCCCCGGCACCGCTGGGCTGGAGCCACATCTTGAGCGGCACCGTCATGGAGCTCACCTGCGACGCCTGGACCAAAACCGAGTCGGACGGCCGCTTCGCCCCCATCAGCCTGCACGCGCGGGCACGGCTTTGGAGAACAGGCCTCTGCCCGCGGACGCCCTCTGAGACTGGCTCTCCTCTTAAGTGGACTGGCGGCTCACCATCGACGGCCAGCGGGCCCGACGAAGGTCTGTACACGGCAGCGGTGCGAGCAAGAACTGGCGACCCTCTCCTCACGCTGACTGGGGGCAGTGCAGGGCTGCAAGCCGAAGGCGCGCTGGAGGTGACCGGAATCACCACGGGCACCAAGACCGTCTTCCCCACCCAGCGTGGCCACCGCGCAGCTGTAGCCCTCCCCCAGCACCAATGCCTACACGCGCGTCTTCACCGGCATCACCGGCCTAGAGGTCGCGGATCGCTGAACCCGCTGCTGCAGGTCGAGAACGATAAGGCCGCTCCGGGCCCCCGGCGACTGCTCGCCCGCCATATCTCATCCGCCCCTCTGGTGCTCATCCCGCTCCGCTGATGCTCATCCACCGGCCCGCTGATGCTTGTCCAATGCCGGCTGATGGCTCTTGCGCGCCTTTTTCTCTGGCTCCGTTACTCCCGTCATTCTTGTCAGCCCGGGAGAGCCCGTCATTCCTGTCGGTCCAGCCTTAGAGAAGCCTGTCATTCCTGTCATTCTTGTCATTTCCGTAATTCCGAGCCGGTGAGAGCGTGTTCTAGAAATTTTCGGCTCTAGGGAAGCCCGTCCATTCCTGTCATTCTTGTCATTCCGTCATTCCGAGTCGGTAAGCGTGTTCTAGGAATTTTCGGCTCTAGGGAAGCCTGTTATTCCTGTCATTCTTGTTATTCCCGTCATTCCGAGCCGGTGAGCGTGCTTCATGATCTTTCAAAGCGCCCCTTGCTCGCCCGCTGCTGCTCATCCGATGCGCGCGTTTTCTAGGCTCTGTCATGGCCGTCATTCTTGTCATTGCTGTCACCCTCTGCTCGCTCGCTGCTGCTCATCCGATGTACGCGTTTTCTAGCAGAGCCGAGTCCGAGACCAGGCTGCATCCAGCCTCACCCTTTGTAGCCATTTCGAAGACGACCCGGTCAAAAGGCTCCGTCATGGCCGTCATTCTTGTCATTCTTGTCATTGCTGTCACTCTCTGCTCGCCCGCTGCTGCTCATCCGATGCCGCGTTTTCTAGGCTCCGTCATGGCCGTCATTTTTGTCATTCTTGTCACTTCTGACAGGCTCTAGAGTCCGGAATTTTTCGTAGAAGGTCCCACGCAAAGTCAGACATCCCCTCAGTCACCTCGGACATCGCGAGTTCACCTCGGATTTCGACTTTGTCGGAATGTAAGCCATCCAGCTTGTCATTCTTGTCATTTCTGTCATTTCTGTCATTTCCGCCATGGACCTTGAGGTTGTAACTGTAAGATCGTCTGTGAGTGAAGCT